ATTGGAGCTCCATCACTCAAGAGAATGCAGTCCCACATCTCCAAAGCCCAGTCTACCCCTCTAGCCTACGCTTGCCATTGAGCATGGTGACCTTAGGCTCATGTGCAGCTGCTCCAGAGCATCTAATTCTATTGGTCAGTGCTTTTCTATGGAGATTATATAAGCGATGGGTGTATTCAATGTCTGAGTTCCCTCATTAGAAGGGCTGTCTGGATACTTTTTGACAAATACTGTAAATTTAATTCTAAAGTGTGTTGACTGTCTCTAATCTGGGGTGTAGTTTTGGAACTGATGCATTTGGGGACTGTTTTTTGCATTGTTAATTGACTTTTTTTCCATTGAACTTCCGCTGTAACTTCCTGAGGAGATTTGGATGATTTAATAATTTACTCCATGCAGACTCCAGCATCAAAACACTGAAATAAGGGTCTCTGAAGAGCAGCAGCAGCAGGCCATCATCAAAAGAAACAAAAATTTGGGGAAAAACTAATGAACCTCTGCTTATAAATAAGACACAGCATTTCATATTTCAATTTTTTACGCAGGTTCATAGAACTTCAAGGACACACACCTGCCACCCCCCCCCAACCCCCCCCGCCCCCGGCACCTCTGATGTAGTCAATCAACCAAAAATGTTTGGTGTCTGACATTAACTGACTACTTGCCTAAATCATCACTAGCCACAAACCATGTGGAGTTATGTAGTAATCTCTTTAGACTTGATCTTGTGGTTGCAAACACTGTATGACTCACTTCTATCCAGTGGCAAAAAATAACAGTTAGAGTTAAGCCTTCAGTTTGGGCTGTACATGTCAAAACTTGATTGAGAAAAAAACACTTCTACAATAATGCAAATTTCTACCAGCACTCCTATAGGAATTCCAACAGTATGTTAGCAGTAAGTGAATGCTATCCAGCCATTATAGAGTAAACATGGACATTTGAAGACATTCTGTATGTTTTATTTGAAGCTTGCAGCAAACAGTAGCATATCTTTGATCTTGTATTAGTTTCAGAGTGACTCTTTCAGTACTGTTCAATTCCTAACAATTAACCGACACCTGAGACTACGTCTCATATTCACAGTCAGTGACATATCTAGCTTCCAGAAGGCCTAGGGTGACCTTTTGAGACCTTTTGTCTCATTGCAGATCAGTGCATGATTGGTCGATTCCTCTGTCACTTCCTAATTATGTTGGTAGTTAATCTAATGTGTAAGGCCTTCAGTGCAGCTCCTGAAGTTCTAACCAATGGGAGAGCTTGCTCAGCTTTATCTGCCTAGATGCCACAGAGAGAGGAGAACCCTGATTGGATATTTTTTTGTTGGGAATTTCAGATTTTCACCCTTTTGTTTTTAACCAAAACTTAACAATGAACTAAGAGTACTACTACACTACTTAATGAGTTTACATGCAAGTATAAATACAAAGTAAAGACTGCAGTGTTTTTAAATTTCCAGAAGTCATTATCATTAATAATTAATGTGAAAACCTAGCAGGTTCTAAGCATTCCCACTTTTTAAGCCTAGATTTTGTCCAAACTATAGCTTTTAGAATATTTAAGCAAATACCAAAGACAACAAATATATGTCCATGTTCATAGCTAACAGTGTTTGATACAGTGTCAGAAACCATATAATCAAGTCTATTATAGGTTATTGAGCAACCATACACGGTTCGAAACGAGTGTGCACCTTGCTAATTGGCGTACATAAGCTTCCATTACTTGTTAGCTACATTAGCCTCATAGCTCCAGTGCTAAAGGTAGTGAAGCGCGCTTCAGGCACCAAACATGTCTCAGCTGATTGACTGCATTTTGGATAAAAGGGAATATGTGTAAATTTGATTTATATATATATATATATTATATCATAGCTATTGGAATAAGATTTCATATCTCCAAAATACTAACTTTGTAGGAAAAATACAAAAAATATCTTTCAGTGTAAATTAATTTAAGTGAGATTTTATTCTACATCATTTTGGCCCAATTCTGTCGGTCTGTTGATAAAGAAATTTGACAAACTGTAAACAACAGCTGGCATTTTCAGCATTGTTCCAAAAGTGATGATTATATATATATATATATATGTGTGTGTGTGTGTACAATATATAGATCATATGCAAACGTTTGTGCGCACATGGAAAAATTCTGTGTTGTTGTTGATTTTTTTGAGTGTAAATATGTTACACATCCTCTACAGAGACACACTTCTGCATTTTAATGCACAATTACTGTTTCTTATGGACGTCCAGAGAGGCCATGAGATGTTTCTCTACATTATCTCAAGATAACAAAGTTGAGTAATGAGTAAACTGTCTTGTGATCTCAAGAAATTAGTTAACTATCTTGTGATCTCAAGATGGCAAAGTTTTCTCAAAATAATGAGTTTACTATCTTGTGATCTCAAGATAATGAAGGTGTTATCTTGAGATAATGAGTTAATTATCTTGTGATCTCAAAATAACAAAGTGTAGTTTATTTAACAATGTTATAAATTGAGATAATGAGTTAATTATCTTGTGATCTCAAGATAACAAAGTTGTAGCTTATTTAACAAAGTTGTTATCTTGAGATAACAAGTTAACTATCTTGTAATCTCAGGATAAGGAAGTTATCTTGAGATAACGAGTTAACGACCCTGTGATCTCAAGATAACAATCCAGAAAGTTATAGCAAGAGTTCATGGCATCTCTGAACTAGTTTATATTCTGAATTCAACACATTGAGGGAAAAATAGAAAACATTAAATGTGGCCTGTTCAAAAGTTATGTCACGTTTTATGTTTTGTGCTTTATTTTTCTCCAATACATTAAACTCAGTATGTAAAACTAGGCAGTAAAATTTCCAGAAACATGTCATATTCAAGTGTGTTCTCTGTAGAGGATGTGTTAAGTTATTTTAACCCACTTAGAAACGTAAAGTCACAGGGGGTGTCCACATTTTTGCACTTGACCGCATGTTGAAAACTTCACCACTCATTCATCACCAACATTACTAGGATATTTTATTTTTATTTAGACTTAGACAAATATTTCTGACACATTCTTGAGTCTCTGCCATCCCCCACCTTCTGTTTGAAAGCAGCACAGAAGAACCAAAACCTTTTTCTTTTTTCTTTTTTTGTTCTTTTTGTTTCAGTCACTGGAGCTGTTTCTTTCTGTCCGTCTGAAATAATCTCTGTCAGTCCTGCCCTGGCCCCGACGCTGCGAGTGGTACAGTCTGAAACCATTACATAAGAGAGAGAAACAAAGCAAAGACAAAAAAGTAAGGCCACACGATAGATTGCACACTATAAAACACTAACAATTTACTCTTTTGGCAAACGGCGCTTTGTTCAGCTCGTCCCTGGAGTGCTTTCCCGTGTACGTAACCCAAGTCTCTTGGGGAACCGAAAGAAAGAGGAAAAAAATTACACATAATAACAGCCTAAAGGAGCGATATTGGCACTGACAGCTCTCTGCTGCGATAGGTTTGACACGGCTTTCGCCTTTTTGTTCTCACTCAGGGTCTCCCTGCTGCTAGCACTCTCGCTTTATTCGTAGATAAAACATTGTAAAAGCATTTCACTTATCTCAACTGAGAACATGTTTTTTTTCCTCACCAGCGAGAGTCGAAGTGATGCGTGTGCCAAACTTTCATTTTAAAAATGTGCATCGAAGTGATTTCAACCTTCTCTTTATGTTTCGTCGCTGTCGTAACAAAACCTCCTATCTAGAAAATATTAACTTTACAAGAAAACCTTAATGTACCCTTGATGTGTGTAACTTTAAATTGGTACACTTTTCAAAATAAAAGTTCCCAAATGGCTCTTGGCTTGGATGCACAATTCTACACTCTTAAAAAGAAAGGCTTCAAAAAGGGCTCTTTTGGAGTGGATGGTTTTTTAGAGAACCATTTTTTCTTTGTAAATGTGAGGTCAAACTTCTTAAAATTTAAAAAGCTTTGCAGACAATGTAATGGTTCTAGGAAGAACCCTTCAATTGACATGCACTCTTTAAAAAAAGGTGCAAATAATTCTTTGCACAGTGCCATAGAAGAACCATGTTTGGTTCTCTAAAGAACCTTTAAATTAATAGTTCTTTGATATGTGATGATATGTGAACCTCCTCATTATTTATATTTAAGAACGCTTAAATTGGTACCGAACTTTTACTGATATTTGAAGGTACTTTAAACCTTTAAAAGGTATTTTCACACTTACAAATCTCTTTTTCAAATATGGCTTCAAAAGTGGCTCCACATGATGTAAAAGTTCTTGGACGAACCCTTAGATTAGTACACACTCCCAAAGATAAAGTTTTTCGAGCAATTCTATAGAAGAACCACTTTTTCAGATATGATTTTAAAGTTTAAAGAACCTCAACATGATGTAAAGGTTCTAGGGAGGACCCATAAATTGGTGTAGAACCATTACATTTACCGAGTGTTCAATGGCATCTCTCAAAGAACCCTCTGTGGCACCTTTTCAATGTACAATCACTTTGGTTCCCCAAAGAACCTTTCAATAAATGGAAACATTTTTGAAAATGTCATAATCATGTAAACATCATAATATGATGCTCTTTATCCCTTTTAAAATGTTCTTCATACTGACGAATCTCTCAAAACCATTTTTCAAAGAAGTAACCAAAAGTGGTTCTTCTATGGTGTCGCCCAAAGAACACTTTGTGGCATCTTTATGTTTAAGGGTGTCATTGGTTTGGAGCCTTTATATTTTGTGAAGGTTCTTTAAAAACTATTGTTCAGTGTGGAAACATCTCATTTACAAAAATAGGTTCTTTATGGAACTAAAAGTGATTCTTCTATGACATAGCTCCCAAGAACCCGTTTTGGCACCTTTATTTTTGAGAGTGTTTTATTGGTCCACTTGTCGTGAAATGTTCATACAATGTTGAGCTGCATTGAAAAATCTGAGGTTTTGATACGACAGAGAAGATTTCATAGTTGACAAAAAATACAGGGGGACATCATTTTGTTGTTTTTTTTTTTTACATCGTATCCATAAATGAAAGCTGTTTATGTTCAGTGTGGTGCTGCTCTACTGGATGCTAATATACAGAAGGAGATCCGTTTATGCAGTCCAGTGCTGAGGCCATCTGTATTTGAATGTCTCGTCCTTCAAAAAACAGGCCATTTCTTCTTGACATGAAGATGAAAGGTTTGTTGGTTGGACCTCTGTGATCTCCATTTCTAGCCCAAGAAACGTCAGGCTAATCAGTATCTGGCCTTCCCAAAGCTCCCTCTGATGAGTTTGCGATGCTGCGCTGACGGTCATGGGTGCTTCCTCGTACTGTAGGATGACATTTTTGCAGTTGTTGCTTCTGGCCGCTGTTTGAACGTGTTTGAGATGGACTGTGAGACATATTCACACACTTAAAGAAGAGAGAGAGGGATCAATGTCACTTTTCAAGTCTTTTCATCAAGGTCTTGGGGGGGAGGGGTCCGTCAGATTGTTCTTGGCATTGTAGACTTCAGGTTGTATTTACAGGGCCTGACTGACTAGCGTAATGGACAGGATCACGGTTACTGCAGAGATGCTGGCTGGAGATGCTGACGACTGCCTGGCTCTGTTGTTCTCCGACTGGTGGGAGTCCATGGAGTCGATGGAGCCGTCCATGTTGGGGTCCAGCATGCTCTGTAAAATAAGAATGTACTGTAAGTAAAATCACTAGTCGGTTACTTCTTACATTTCAGCATGAGAAGGCTAACAATTCAGGAAAAAAGCTGATATTTATTTATTTATATACCTGGTAACACTTTCTATGAATGTCACATTTGTAAGCATCTATAAACACATTCATAACATGTTATAATGCATTCATAAGCCATCATAAACATGGCTATAAATATTTATAAAATTGCATACCACAATATAGCCTTGCTTATTATGCATTCTGAATTGTTAACCTAATGCATTATAAGTACTGTTCATAACAAATTATAAGAGCTCATAAGTTGTCTTTGTCTGCTCTGAGTAAAGTGAAGCGTACTGTACTAAAGCCTCCTCCAGTGTTAAGAGTGAGGCTTCAAGTTGAAGTATTTACTGAGGAATTTACTGAAACACTAAAACATTCACAGTAAAGCACATTACAGGCTTCAAATGTCAGAGTTTAAACTAGAGCTGCCATCAGTGTTTTACCCAATATGGGAAAGTCAGTGTACACCACCGTTAGCTTGGCAATAATTTAACACTGCATATCCAATAGAATGCTAGCAGAAATTAGCATTACTGTACTGTAGTGTAGTGATGATACAGAGTGAAGGTTTCTAGCGCTTGACGTTAGAACCAGTGAGGGAACAAATTACAAGGACAGCACTCCATCTCACAGTAACTTCATGCTCAGTGTGATGTCAGAGGGGGTTTAGGGCAGGGGCTCATAGGTACTTGGTTTGCTGTGATGTAATGTAACATTTAAATTGAGAGCGCTGGTTAAGAAAAGCACATAATAGCAATAATTCTAGGCTGGACAGCTTGTTTGGAGCATTAGAATAATCAGGTCTGAAGCCCCGTAGATGCAACCCTAACAGCACCAGCGGTGAGAAATAAAATACTGGAAATCCCAGGGCGTAAATAAACTTTATATTTGTCTTTACGCTCTCAAAGCTGGGACTGACCTCTTTGGCACTGACAGTGTAACATGTTATTAACACAACTTATGATGCATTATATTAACAATTCATAATGTATAATAAGCATGGCTATAAAGTGTAATACAGTGTAATTCATTTTTATAAATATTTATAACCATGTTTATAATGCCTTATGAATGCATTATAACATGTTATAAATGTGTTTATAGATGCTTACAAACATGACATTCAAAGAAAGTGTTACCAGTTAATTTCATAACAGAACTGTGGCTGTGAATGTTCTGTGAGTAAGTAAGGATAGTACACTTTGCTTCTCCAAAACAAAACATGAGTGAGATGTGTACCAACAGTGACTGGAAGGTGTTGGTATACTGTAATGGTAATGCCCCTGCTTTCTATGCTGTAGTCTAAGGTTTAAGATGGTAGTTGTGTTAAATGAACATGTAGTATCCCTAAAAGCAAGGGGATAGTGGACCACTGTAGACCCACTGATGGCAGAGCTGGCGGTCCACTGGCATTTTGCTCATTTTTTTCCGAGCAGCTCACCGGTGTTTAAGCAGAGTATTAGACAAAATTCCACATATCATCACTCATTTTCCACTCACAGTCCAATTTACTCATTTTTCTATCCTTCCTTTCTTTATTTATACTTTGCAAATTAGTTTATAATTACATAATTTTAATCTATCACAGTATCAGCAACAACATTTTCTATAAAATCATTTTATATTGGGCCTAGTCATTATTTTTTTTCTCTCTCTCTTGTTTGTAATATTTGTAATTTGTAATAAAAGTATGTAATAAAAATGCATTTAAAATCTGTTTGAGGAGATTAAATACTAGTTAGAGCTTGTATGCAGGACAATAATCTGAAGGTGGACCCGCAGTGGCAAACAGTCAGCAGGGTGCGGACTGATAGATGCTCACTATCTTGGTTGTTGTAACTTACAACACAAACAAACACACAAACAATCTGGTGAAACTTGGTTGATTATCAACAGCATAAGTTTTACATTTAACAGAGAAGTTTGATTTAACCCTATTAACCCTTTATCTTTATATGCAACTAAACATCTTGTCTTACATTTTGTTTAATTATTTCGTTCACAGAAACTCTTTGAAACAAGTGGAGAATCTTGTGTAGCCTCTTTCTGTAGACCTTCTGAGGAGGGGTCGGAATTGACTGATATTTTTAATTACAATAATCAAATAAAGTATTTTTCCACATAACTCTTTCATCAGATTAACTAGGACACTATTGTGTGAAATATTGTGACTCTGTGTTGTGCTGCTAGCGAGCAACGAGGGGTGAAAGAGGAGGGGCGAGAACCCCCTGCTGCGTACACTTACTAATTTCCACCTGTTTGGGAAGTGCCTCAGTCGAACTGTGCACTTTTCACTCATGCTGAATATACTTTAATGGAAATGTGTATGATTTGTAAAATGGCAATGGGTTTCTCGTCTTTGTAGGTGAGCAAGCAAATTAACATTTATAAAAGTGTTGTTATTTTGTTTAAATGCTGTGTGTTTATTGTGTCAGTCATGCAGGATTGTTTGATATAAAGAAAGCTGTAGTTGTCCATTTTATCTCAGCACAGTTGTGTTTGTGGAGGGGTGTGAATAGTTTTCACTGCAGTGGTTTCTCACCCCTTTCTATTCACCCCTCAGCTGTCCATTGTGTAAAAATTTCATCATAATTGAACCAATAGAAACGGCCCAAAATGACCAAAATGACAAAACTCTTTTACTGCCGTGTTGTGGCTGCACAGCAGAATTTGATTTTTAGATAAAAAATTAAATAATCCTCTTTTACAGTAAAATAAAGCTTTACTGATTGTTCTAATACAGTTTCAACAATAAATGGTCTTAAACGCTGGAATTAATGTAGAACTGCTAATTCACTTTAACCAGACTGCTGCTCACTATAGCAACGCAGACAAAAATCTCGCATAGCTAGTAGCTAAAGAAACGGCAAAGAGAGAAATTTAAGACAGATATAAATCATTTATAGACAAATGGACTTTGCATTTATCACTTCAGCTTTTTTGCCAAAAAACGTTTAATCTGCAACAAGAAACTGTCAAACACTAAAAAGCATTGCTGAAGTCGCTTCTCATTCGCCATCTTCTTGTCTGAATTCTCCCATTCCACCTTAAATACTGCAGCAGTTACATTCTGGCACATCAGGCACCATTTAAGGTGGAACAGGAAAATTCGAACAAGAAGCTGGCGAATGAGAAGCGACTTCAGCCTCATAAAAAGTCAAACGTTGAGAGACATTTTACAAGAAACTATTCTACTTTTATGGAAAGGTTTCCTGCTCGAAAAGCGGCTATAGCTAAGCTAAAGCTTAGAGCAGAACAAAGTAAATATGTGCATTTACTTACATTGTTTTTTTAAGCCTATACTAGCATAGTAGCACATACTGAGACATATTTACAGCCAAGACGGTAAAATGAATATAAAATGTTGTGGCTCCCAAGCTGGTTTGATTTTTGTTGAAAGGACAAAATGGCTCTTCCTAACATTTGGGTTGTGACCTCTGCACTATCCACTGACTTATATTAAAAGTTAAGAACATTTTTTGTCTTCTCCTGTAAAGGTGCTATTTTGGTGATGCATGTTTTTCTTTGGGCAGCGATGATCTACAACCCCCTTGATCACCAAATCTGCTGCTTACAATTCAATTCAGATGGACCTAATATGGTTATGTAAACTGTAATCTGATGAGTAGACTAGACTAGTGTGATGGGCTGAGTTTGTGGTCTTCAGAAGCTTTTCCACTCCTCGCTCCACACAGGTGTTCTTCTCTGTGTTTTTTAGCTGAGCCCCCCAGAGCCCCAGGCTCTCTGACTCGGCATTTCTGCTTTGCTGGAGCTCCCAGCACGCCTGAGGTAATCACAGCTCTGCAGCTGGAAATGAGCAAAAACCAGTTGAACTGAATGTGGCTCTTTGAGGACCAGAGCTTTCAGCCTTACCTCGTCTGCACATTCGAAACTGTTGGAGGGAGAACACTTCTGACCACCGTCCTGTGAGAACACAGACATACAAACATGTTTAGAGTCTACACTCACTGCAAAAAATGATATATTGGCAAGTCGAATTGTCTTAAATTTAGTCAGTATATCTAATATTCCTCATTTTAAGATTGCTGTAAACTAAAAAGATTATTTAACTTATTTCTCAACATGTTTACTTGTTATGACTAATTATGAGTATTGGTAGATAAATATATCTACCAATACTTACAACCCAAATGCATATATCTACCAATATTTATAATCCAAAAGCGTATATCCACGAATACTTACAACCCAAATGCATATATCCAGCAATATGTACAACCCAAATGCATATATCTAGCAATACCTATAACCTAAGTGCATATATCCACCATTACATCTAACTCAAATGACTATATGCACCACTGCTTACAACTCAGATACATATATCCACATAACTAAACACCAACAGAAAAAAAAACTGTTGCATGGACAACAGAAACAACAGTTCCTCACAGAAGAGTAAACATGGAAGAGTTCATAGCCTCCTATAATTACTGCAGGCACATATGAAGCCAGCCCAAACATTGCTGGGGTCCTTGGAAAGTATATTGTCACGTTCCAACCACAGTGCTTCACAACACAGTCCAGTAAGTGGTGGCAATGCACCTGATAACACCAACAAAATCCAGTAAAAGAAGAAGAACAACCCGGGTCCTTTCACCATCCTAACAGGAAGTCAGGAGGCAGCCGCTACACTGAGGTGAATACAAAACAAACATGCTAATGCTAGCTCTTAGATAGCTTTTTTTTAGGGGGAGTCTAGTTCTTCAAAGTACAGTTACCATGGAAATGGGTGTAGTGGAACCATAGAAATAGGTGTAGCATAACCATGGAAATAGGTGTAGTGTAACCATGGAAATGGGCGTAGTGTAGCCCCTGAAATAGGTGTAGTGTAACCATGGAAATGGGCGTAGTGTAGCCCCTGAAATAGGTGTAGTGTAACCATGGAAATAGGTGTAGTGTAACCATGGAAATAGGTGTAGTGTAGCCGCTGAAAGAGGTGTAGCATAACCATGGAAATGGTAGTGTAACCATGAAAATGGTTCAAATTGTTTTTAAGATTCTAGAAACATTTAATCTTGTGGGTTCAAACTTTTTTGTCTGGCGCTGTTTATGTATATTACAGAAAAGTGAAATGTGGTGTAGGAACAGCAGCTTGTGAAATCCCTGAATCCACCAAAAAGCTGCTTAGATACAGCAAGAAAGCCGAAGCAAGCTGTTTCTTACCAGCGCTGACCGAGAGCGTGAATCAGAAATATAATGCCTAGGAAGTTCCTTCACTTTAGACTGGCAGTAGATCTGCTCCGCGCTTTTGAGCTCCGTCTGCATGAAAAGCAATTTATTAGCTAATCCTTGTTTTTAAGCGGCTTCGGCTCAGACGTACAGCATTGAGTGCGGCTTTTTGTTTTTTTGTCAGCCACGTCGAGCTCTGAGGGCTTGTTTCTTGGCAGTATAATAATCTCTGTGTATGAAAGCAACAAAATTACCAAAAATGCCAAAGATTATCGGCAGAGTCACACACGATGTGACCGCTTTAATTTGAGTTTCTGGCATTAGTACTTAGAGGTGCTTTAAAGTCTATCTCAGAGTGCTTCATCTGTGGCCTTTTGATTGCTTCCTGCACTTCTGAGCTGAGAAGCTTTCACCTCCACAATGCTGAGCGAGTGAACATCCACCTACCCGCTCCACTTCTGACGCGCAATCTCACTCATTCCGTAAAAAGTGCTGTGGCATTTTACGGCAGAAAAACATCTATAAAGTGGATAGTTTTTTTATGCATTGGCAGTATTATGATGTTAATTCATGAAGAGAGAGGCGGAGGTAAAAGCTGCCGTTACGAGCAGCGAGTTGCGCCGTAGAGATATCTGAGCAGAATATTGATGACTCATGCATAATATTTCACATTTTTCGCTCTATTCATGAGCTTTGCTTCCCCCAGAGGATGCACACCTTCCCATCTGAAAATGGATTCGGATGCACAAACATGAATCTGCTTTTAAATATTATCTAAACATCATGTTCTTCCCAGATGGCAACATTTCACTCCACAAAAGAAAATGCCATATCGTTATATATCGTTATAGCCGTAGTTTGGGTGAATTATGAACCTGCAGACTGGTCCAGATCGGGGACAGGTGAGCAGAGAAACGTTCCCTCATTCAGTTAATAGACAGAATGATAGATAGACAAACATGTGCTGCTGCTATTGGTTTGGGTTTGATTGTAACTCCTGCAGCACCAGGCTGATATTTCACTCACATGTTGGACCCCATACACTGATAGAAATAAAGGTTCTGTGCGGGTACGTTTTTCATTCATCAAGGTTCAAACAATGTAAATGTTCCCTCAAGGTACAACAGTGGTTTTCAGGTCCAATTGTGAACCATAAATAAGTTTTTCCCTGGTGAGAAGTATGTATTTGTACCTTTTCATAACCTATTGTTTTAAAACAGAACAATAAAATAAAGAGCATGGAGACGAGACGGGGTGCGTGGAGTCACTACAGCTTAGAAAATATAATATCAATGGATTATGATAGTTATGTTCCCTGACTAAAGGCACTGGGATGTATCCTTGAAGGTACCACCCCAGACAAGAGAGGTACTGGCCCAGTGACAGTTTAGGACCTTTGTAAACAGGGTTCAAACAGGGTTTAATGTTCAAACATTATCTTTTCAAGGAATGTTGGACCAAATAAGGTTTTAAGAAAATGCTTAAAACAAGCTTCGTATACTAGTTTGTGCTAATCTTAGATAACGATAAAGATACTCGATCAAATTAGATCGATTAATCCGCTTAAATCCATCCACAAGGCCTCAGACTGATAAAAAATGTACTGCTTTTAAAATATTAAGATATTTTACAGCATCTTTTTGTATATCAAGAAATCTAGTAAGTTAAATGTTCTCACTATCTTGCCAGATGATTTAGCTTTGATTCAAGAACTTTTTTTTGACTTGTTTTTAGTTTTCTTCTTCAGTGACACTGATTTAAACATAAAATGCAGCTTGATGTGCTTCACAACATAATGTAATAAAACTGTAATACAGTAAAAACAATAACAAAAGTAGCATAACTAAGAAATAAGAATAAAACAGAAAAAACATAACAAAATGGATTGTTATTATAAATAGAGCACAATCAAAATAAGACAAAGTAGCTGTAAATGCCTGATAAATATCTTTCCTCATCAAGATGTTCCCACCCTTAATATGTTATAGACATAATGATTTTTAACAGTGTGGTTCAGTTGCACCATTACAAATAGTTAAAAAAGTTTGTTGTCTAGTTTATAGTATTAAGTCTGCACTGTTTAGGCGGTTATTGCAATTAAAATAATCAAATGAAAATATGAAAAGTGATTCCAAACTTTTGAATGTTGGTGTATATATTTTTTCAAATTTTTATCTTAATTGTCACTCTGCAGAACAGCAGAAGCTTACACACACACACACACACACACACACACTTTCTAAGCCGCTTATCCTTCTGGGTCATAGGGGGAGCTGGAACCTATCCCAGCGGTCTTTGGGCAGAAGGCAGGATACACCCTGGACAGGTCGCCAGTCCATCGCAGGGCAGACAGACAGACATACACATTCACACCTAGGGGCTATTTAGCATGTCCAATTGGCCTGACTGCATGTCCTTGGACTGTGGGACAAAACCCACACAGACACAGGGAGAACTTGCAAACTCCACACAGAAAGGACCCTGGATGCCCGGCCAGAAATCATCAAAGTGGATAGGAACCAGGGGTCACCATGACTACAACACAAATATAGACATTTTATTTACTATCCAAAACCACCAGTGTCCTGCAGGTGTCCTTTCACTACTAATGTATTTTTAAAAACATGTTGTTAGGCCAGGGCGGCACGGTGGCACAGTGGGTAGCGCTGTCGCCTCACAGCAAGAAGGGCCTGGGTTCAATTCCCAGCCAGGCGGCCAGGGTCCTTTCTGTGTGGAGTTTGCATGTTCTCCCCGTGTCTGCATGGATTTCCTCCCACGGTCCAAAAATATGCAGTCAGGCCAATTGGACATGCTGAATTGCCCCTAGGTGTGACTGTGTCTGTCTGCCCTGCGATGGACTGGCGACCTGTCCAGGGTGTATCCTGCCTTCCGCCCAATGACAGCTGGGATAGGTTCCAGCACCCCACCGTGACCCAGAAGCATAAGCGGTTTAGATGATGTATGTATGTATGTTTTTAGGCCAAACTATCGTAAAACAGTGTCTCAGTCATCAGGCAGAACAGCATTTCACACCAAACCAATATGAATGACTCTACATAATGGTTAAGTTTACATCTTAGCCATTAATTTGTGGATTTTTAATGAAATTTCAGTGGAATTCCCCATTGATGTCCTCATAAGGTAACATTTCTCAAATATCACTTTCATCCACTGAAGCAGAAATCTCCAGAGCTTTGTCCATCATGGACAGGCAAAGCGGATCATCCATAAATCTATATGAGCTTATCTGCAGGTGATTCAGGTGCTGAAACAGTCCCACTGAGCCCAGCAGTGAAGACGTCTACAAACACACATTCTGTGAACTGAATTATGAGCTCAGTTTACGGCATCTTAGTGCAGTTTTGACTGGATCACCTGGTTTATTCCAGCATTATGGTCTTTGCTTTCACTTCACTTGGTGGAACTGTTTTGGATGTGTGCATGTTTCTTAGCAGGTGTCTAATTTTCTCTTTTATGCTTTTACCACACAGACATGCATTCAGGGCTGTTCACAAGGCTGTTTAAGAGAGAAGAAAGAAAATATGCCACTTTTCTCCCAAAATGACTGATTATGTAAAAAACAGCGGTACACAGAAAATTTCTCAGCCAATAATGTGAAGTAGCAAGTAAAGGACTGGACTTCTTCAGAAAATTAATACATTTATTAGTAGATGAATTGGCTGTGTAATACAAAAGGGGAAATGGTTTTAGAGCTCAAGTGACCCAAATAAGTAACATTATGTACAGCATTAATCAAAAGTTTGGATGCCTCTGATTAAATGTATGATTTTCATGATCTTAATCTGTCTGCATGCTGATTTAATGCCCAGGCTTACCTAATTCAGGGCCTCTGATTAACCTTTTTTCCTTTTCCTTTAAAGATATTTGTTTACTTAGGCTCCACCCACCCATCAATCATCTTGATTTCTGGATATCAACTGGATTTATTCAAAACATCAGTTCTGATGCTGATTGGTGGCTGTATCAGGTGCATTTGACTGGGAAGTTAGAACCTGGGATCTCATTTATCCAAGCATGCATAGAGCATGTTCTATGTCTGTGCATAAAACCCAGTAGTATGCACTAGATAAATGGTTTCAGATGTGTGTATGAACAGCTGTATAAAGTGAATGATGATAAATCCTACACTGCTCTGCTCCATCACAGCCAGGCTTATTTACATAAAGAAACACCCACAAAAAGCCATATAAGGTTAAAAAAAGTCCCCTGTGTCCCATAAAGCAAATGAAAAGCTGAAACTTTAGTTTTTCAAAAAATAGAACTTTCCGTTTCACATATAAAACTTAGATATGAACATTTAAGAACTTGTAAGAATTCAATTTGAACATGCAACATTTTTTCATAATAATTATTAAATCATTTTAGTTCCGATATGTTTATTTTTGACAATTCAGTTAGAGCTGACTGAATTTGTGAATTGAGTTAGAACTGAACATAATGCTAGAACATGCTAGAACATAATTGTAAGTAAATCTGAATTTTGAATGTTAGAAATTAATCATTTTTAACATTGTAAATCTATTTCTAGTACAATCTCATTTCCAAAAAAGTTGGGACGCTGTGCAGAATGTAAATAAAAACAGGATGCAATGATGTGCAAATCATGTAAACCAATACTACAAAGACAACATATCAAATGCTGAAACTCAGAAATTGTATTGTTTTGTATGCCCATTTTGAATTTCATGTACTGTAGATGATGAAAAGCATAATTCTTTGCTATTCTATGTTGAGAAACATTATTCTTGAACTGTTGCACTGTTTGCCCATGCAGTCTTTCACAGAGTGGTGAACCCCTCCTCATCTTTACTTCTGAAAGACTCAGCCTCTCTGAGATGCTCATTTTATACCCAATCTTGTTACTGACCTGTTGCCAATCAACCACCAGGTGTTTTTTTAGCATTACACAACTTTACCAGCCTTTTGTTGACCTCGTCCCAACCTTTTTGGAACGTGTTGTTGGCATCAAATTGAAAATGGGTGTATATTTTTTTAAAAACAATACAATTTCTCAGTTTCAACATTTGATATGTTGTCTTTATATTATTTTCAATTAAATATAGGTTTTAAATGATTTGCACATCACTGAATTTTGTTTTTATTTACATTTTGCACAGTGTCCCAACTTTTTTGGAAATGGGGTTGTAATATTTTACTTCTTTACATTGAATTTCTGATTTCTGATATAAAAATGTCTAACAGCTCAAATGTTCATGGGGAGCCCCTCTCTACATCATCACAGTCAATCTGTAGATGTTCCTTAAAAATTATTTCACTTTACCTTTACTATGAAGCTGAATCAGCTCTCATCTGTGTCACCCGTTTGCTCCTCATCTATATGCTGTACCAGATTTGAAGCGTTTTTTAGATTTAGATTGTTGAGAAACATTGATTTTATTCAGTTAAACTATTTTTATTTTACTTTTTATTGTACTTCTTGTTTTTCTCCTTATTATTAGTAGTAATAGTTGTAGTTTATGGTGATTGCATGGGACACAAGTCCCCCCTGGGGAAAGACCACCTGCCTGCTATGGTATACCAGGTGGTTGCTAGGTGATTGCTAGGGTGTTGCAATGTGGTTGCTTTCATATCCCAGGTGATCACTAGGGTTTTGCTAGGTGATTGTTAGGGTTTTGAAAAGTGGTTGCTTTAGTATCCCAGTTGATTGCTAGGATGTTGCTAGGTGGTTGCTATGGTATACCCAGGTGGTTGCTAGGCTGTTGCTATGGTTGCCTACATGGTAAATAGGGTGTTGCTAATGGACTGGTATCAACATGACATAAGTTGGTGCACAAATTTTTGCACCTCTTTCATTTCAATTTGAAAAAATTGTCATTTAACCATGATTGTATAAAAACTATGTCCAATCAAAAAGCTGTTTACAAGCTGCAACAAGCAACCTCGTTCCTGAACAGACAGAACATTCCGGTGTTGGAATGGTGTCGATATCTCAAAAACTGTGGGACGAGTTAGCAGTAGAAGAAGAAGAGGAGGAATACACTATTGGATCACTAATTAGTTATTAAGGTTGAGCCAGGTATGCTAAATGAGGAAAAAGTGTGCAGGACTGGGATTGGGAAGCCCTGGTTTAGAGATCTGGGTGAGTTACTGACCTTTAGGTTTGCACAGGTGGAGAAGACACATGCGCTGTCCACAGGTTTGATGTCATTGGAGCTGATGACAGGTTTGGTGATGATGGCGGGCTGCAGGTTGGGTCGCTCTGACGGAAACGCAGACTGAGACTCAGTGATGGGGAGGAAACCAGCGTCAGCTCCGTAACCAAACGCCTGGATAGCATTTCCTACACATGAAAGACCAAACAAGGTTAATGATGCACTGATGGACAAATAAATGCATAGTTGGATGGATGAATGGATGGAAGAAAAGACTGATCGATATATTTGTAAATGGATAGATATGCAGATGGATGGATGGATGAGTTGATTGATTGATAGATGGATAGATTTATAGCTAAACAGATAGATATGCAGATAGATGAGCGGGTAGTTGGATGGATAGACTTGTGGAAATATATGCAGATAGGTAAATAGGTTGACATATGGATGGATGAATAGATTTATAAGATGAGTAGACCTACAGATGGATAGACAGACAGTTGCTGTTGCAACAAAACCTCGTATCTCAAAATGGTCCCTTTCCAGAAGAAGGAAAAAATGCTCTTTACTTTAATGTACGTTAATGGAACGAGATTACATAAATCATTTGGTCCATTTCTATCGGTCCATTTAGTACTGCTGCTGTTTTCCAATTATGTAAAAAATAAATAAATAAATAAATAAACGTGAATACAAGAGGATTTTTTATATGACAACAGTATTTAATTATTTCTTTTTTTATATAACTTTTCCACGCTCAAGGTCTCTCATATAATCGATGATAGAACATGTTGGAGCAGACAAGAAACAGAAGAAGCAAGTATTAGAGTGAGAAAGATAAACAAGCAGACTAACATTCAACAGAAAAAGAGAGTAAGACATGCATGCAAAGGATGCAAACAGAGATGGCACAGCAGCACCAGGACAAGGCTCACAAAGAGTAAGAGAACACTTTTTTAAAAGGCCCATATTCTGTATTTGTCTTACATAATATGGACAAAAGTATTGAGATCCCTACACATTACACCTACAGGAGCATTTATGACATCCCTCTCTAAATCCATAGGCACTAATATGGAGTTGGTCCGCCCTTTGCAGCTATAACAGCTTCCACTCTTCTGGGAAGCTTTCTACAAGATTTTGGAGTGTGTCTGTGGTCCATGCATCCAGAAGACTATTTGTGAGGTCTTTACACTACTCCCTCCTGACGCTCGGCCATGGAAATCCATTTTGTAATGCTCATGATGTGCAGTTCTTTTGCTGATGTTGCTTCCAGAGGCAGTTTGGAACTCTTTAGTGAGTGATTCAACAGAGGATAGGCACTGTGCTCTTCAGTACTCAGAAGCCCCACTCTGTGAGTTTGCGTGATCTACCTCTTCGTGGCTGAGCTGTTGTTGCTCCTAGACGCTTCCATTTCACAAGTAATAGCATATACAGTCGACAGGGGCAGATCTAGCAGGACAGAAATTTCACAAACTGACTTGTGGCAGAGGTGGCATCCTATGACAGTGCCATGTTTAAAGCCACTGAGCTCTTCAGTACGACTCATTCTACTGCTAGTGTTTGTTTATCAAGACTGCAAGGCTATGTGCTTAATTTTATACAACTGTTAGTAATGAGGATGTTGGAAACACCTGAACTCAATAATTAGGAGGGCTGTCCACATACTTTTGTCCATATAGTGTTTTTTTCTCATTACGAATATCCCACTTATGAGATTTGTTTGAGTTTATGTACCAAAACCAGTCATGCTTAATTATTACGTAATCAATTTTCCAACCTCTTTTTATCTTTTAGAATTGAACAGGCTTTGTCAATAAGACTGATGTATGTAAACAAGCTCTGTTCTGATTGGCTGTGCCTCATTCATGCAGCAGTCCATTCTGAAACACTTCTTATAACTTCTTATAGCATGAATGGGTGGAGCTAAACTAGTCTGAATAAGTGTATATATGGAAATATTATTTAGAACACTGAAACATGAATTCAAAACAGGCTGTTTTTGCAGCAGGATGATATGGACTGGTAAGTGAAGGGCTATTTATTAAAACTTTACCAGTATTTACATATTACATCAAACTATTCAGTTTCCAGGATGCGGGCCCTTTAAGGATCTGAAGGATGAGATGAGAGTTTAGAAGCTGAAAAGTGAAAGTCTGCAAAGGGGAATAGGCAGTTTGAGGGCTGAGTGTAATGGAAGATGGGACTTTTCTCATTACTGTGTTATTTAGCTTGATTTAGTGTGGTTGTTTGTTCAGCGGCGTGTGTCGTGAGGTGATCGTGTGAGAATTCGCCGCATCAACCCGAACTCACTCAGACATGCGTTCTCCCTGAAGTCTCGCAGGAAAGCCTCACACTCCGTCTCTTGGTTACCACTGCCGCGGCAGCTGCACCACGGAGAGATGGTGATGTTGGTGTGGTTCGCGTCAACGTAGTTTGGGGTCACATCCGAACCTGAAAGGACCAGACACAAGCTCATGATTGTACATGTCATTTTGATTTAGTGTGACTGAACTGATGGCTGGTCTAAGGCCCAGTCCCATTTCTTATTTTTACCCCTTGTTTTTGAGTGTCTCCTTGCCCCTTGGAACTGAGTTACAGGGGGTAGTGGTTGAAATCTTCCCTATGAAATGGCACCCTCAAATAAAAAAGAACATCACTTCATTAACAGGCTATTAGCGGTGCTCTGTAGGTGACCCTGCCAGTCTGCAGTGATAGCAGAGGAGGGTAAATTTCAGCCTCAACCTCACTGCTGATCTTTAGTTACATTTAGGGAATCATATGCCTTCAAAGAGGGGCAATTATTTATTATCTTCCACCCCTAATTCTTCAGTGATATAAAGCTAAAGTCAGCTATTCAGCAGCTTCTCGTTCAGTTTTTTTTGTTTCACTTTAAATGGAGCAGCAGTTACATTCTGCTGGACTATTTAAGGTGGAACGGGAAATCTTGCTAGCTAGCTACTGGGACAGTTGCATACTACTAGCGATTTTTATGCTTGTTATGAAGGAAAGGACCATGAAACATTGAACATTACATTAAACACTGACATTAAACTAAGATAATACAGTAGTTATTGTTATTTTTAACGGAAAAAAAATACTTAGATTTGTGGGTTTCTTTGGTTTCACTTGCGCAGCCACCTTGCCAGTTTTTCTTTTTTATGTTATAACACTGTTATATTGGAGTGAGCCTCTGAAAAAACTCAGTTTGCAGGGCCATGTAGCCCTCACACTACGTCCTACCCATCTATCTCAACAAAACGATCTGCCAATGGAATAAGACCCTACCATAAGATAAAATTACTTAAAACAAGTGAAATTGTCTATAAATAAGTCATATTATCTTGTAATATTCTTACAATAATCTCATAATTATAAAAATTAGATATATGGACTACATTTAAGATTGTTATATTAAGGCAGGTTAGACAAATCTTCACTGCAAAAATAATATCTTCGCAAGTGAAAACATCTCAAATCTGATAATAATTAATGTAATATTTCTCATTATGAGACTGTTGTTATTAAAGTTCTTTCTAGACATGTTACTTGTTTTAAGAAATTTTATCTAAATAAAGTGCTGATAAATGCTAAGATTATAAATTGTTGCAGTGTTGTTCTGAGCTCCAGTGTTGTTTAAAGCAGTTTTACACCGTCTCTCTGCCAATGTAGTACATCAGCAAAGACATGTTTGATGTCAGAGGTTTGTTTCTTTAGTTTTAGTACTTGAGCTAAGAAGCTAATGTAGCCAGTATGGAAACAATTCACATTTCAAGATGACCACTGCTGTTTTTAGGTAAGGTACTCTACTTGGACCTGAAGCTCAGAGACTCAAGACTCTACTTGGACTTCAAGCTCAGAGACTCAAGACTCTACTTGAACTTAAACCACAGAGATTCGAGGCTCTACTTGGACTTGAACCTTAAAGACTCAAGTCTCTACTTGTACCTAAACCTCAGAGACTTGAGGCTCTACTTAAACTTGCACCTCAGAGACTTGAGACTCTACTTGGACTTGGACTTTAAAGACTCGAGAATCTATTTGAACCTCAGAGACTTGAGACTCTCTGACTGACCTAGAGACTTGAGACTCTACTTGAACTGGACCTTAGAGACTTGAGACCTACTAAACTGCACTCAGAGACTTGAGACTCTACTTGGACTTGGACTTTAAAGACTCGAGAATCTATTTGAACCTCAAAACTTGAGACTCTACTTGGACCTGGACCTTAGAGACTTGAGACTCTGCTTGGACCTGGACCTCAAAGACTCAAGACTGTGCTTGGACTTGAACCTCAGACACTTTAGACTCTACTTGGACATGAACCTCAGAGACTCTAGACTCTACTTGAATTTAAACCTCAGAGACTCAAGACTCTACTTGAACTTAAACCTCAGAGATTCGAGACTCTACTTGGACATGAACCTCAGAGACTCTAGACTTGAATTTAAACCTCAGAGACTCAAGACTCTACTTGGACTTGGACCTCAGAGACTTGAGACTCTACTTGGACTTGAACCTCAGAGAATCTAGAACTGACTTGGGTACCAAACATATTTCGATTGATTGACTGCACATGAGATAAGGGGTAAATTTTGTAATTTTGTAAACTTGATCTCCAAAGTAGGTTGGAGAAAACCTGTTCTGATCCTTAAAGCTTTGAAAGGTTTAATTATGAAGAATCCAAATTCCTGCATTATGTAATAAACTTCATTCTAGCGGGCATCACGCTTAATCAGGAGGCTCAATGTTTTACTCGGTTCTTCTTATTTGATCATTGATAATGAGGCTTGTTCATAAGCCTGAAATCACTATGTGGCTAAAAGGAGGCCAGATAATAATCAGCTCCTCAGTCAGCTCTTTAAAGCGATGTAGAAAAGTTAATCTGTAGAGTCAAAAACACGTCTGTAATCACTCACCAATGAGTCCGACGTAAGACACCAGGCAGCCGTGGTAGTTGTCGTTGGGGCAGCTTGTTATTGAGTGTGGAGTCGTCTGGCAGTTCATGTGGAAATCTGCCAGTCTGGATCTAAAACAAAAGAACAAACAAACCAATAAATAAATAAATAAATAAATGTAAACAGACTTTTAGCACCAAATTGAGATAAATCCATAAATAATCCATCATTTCCCATCTCTTTTTATATAAGCACCACATCTGTCTTCAATAAATCACATGCAATTTTTCATATAATGCATTATGATATCACTGAACGATATCTCTCTCTCTCTCTCTGCCCCTCTATTTCTCTCCTTTCTTGTTCCTTTTTATATTTCTTTTTTTATTCTCTCACTGCCCCCCACTTCTGTCTTTCTTTCTTCTCTCTGTCTTTCTCTCTCTCTCTCTCTCTCTTCCCCTCCCCCACTCTCCCTTTCTCTCTTTTGCACTCTGCACCCCCCCTTTTCTTTCTTTAGCTCTTTTCTCTCTATCTGTTTTTTCTGTTTACTTTCTCTCTCTTTGTCTCCCTTTCTCTTTTCTCTCACACTCTTACTCTTTTATCGCTTCCCTTTTTCTCTCTGTTTCTCTCTCTCTTTCTGTCTCCTTTCTCTTTGTCTTCTTTCTTTCTTCTTTTTTCCTCTCTCTCTCTCTCTCTCTCTCTCTCTCCCTCTCTCTCTCTCTCTCTCTCTCTCTCTCTCAGCGTTTTTTTCCAACCTTGTGTCCAACAGTAGCACATTGGGTGGAGCCTGGGTAGATCTGTTATTTGTATTTTGTGAAACTGCATATATTAGAATCATTTATTAATTTATCTGCCACTAAATTTGTTTATATGATTAAAAATGCTGATTCTTCTCAACAGTGCTGTATATAATCCTGTAGCTGCTATATCTGCTCCTGTTGGCCTTCTGGTCAGAGCTGAAGATCAAACAGAGAGGGACTCCATCTGCGCTTTTGCTGCAGGAGACGCTCTCTGACCCTCTGAGTGCTCCGAGGATGCAGCTCTTCACCACCAGGCCATTTTCTGTTTGACTGCATGCGCTCTCTCACTAACCCCACCAATCTGCCTCAAACACACACTCATTCGGGCACAGGCTGCGGTCACTTCACAGCATCCAGCTTCAGGCCTGAAGGAGTAAAGAACCCTCTAACGTCTGTAGCATCACATTAATTTTTTACAGTAGATATCAGAGTGCTATCACAGGGGACACTGAGCGTATAATGAGGGTGCTGTATAGATAAAAACTATAATATGTACTGTAAGGAACTTTGAGTCTTTATGTTATCAAAAGCAACAAAGTATAACAAGCAGTATCAAAAATTACAAAGCCTGTTTATGGCTAGCCTTTCTGTCACGGCTAGTGGAGACTGTTAAAAAAGGGGGGCAACTCCATATTAATGGCCATGGTTGTGGAATGGGATGTCCAGCAATATCATATAAGTATGATAGTCAGGTGTATACATACTTACATAGTTTTTCATAACTTGTGGCCTCAATATAGCAATTAGTGGCCTCAATATAGTAATTAGTGACCTCAATATAGTAATTTGTGGCTTTAATATAGCAATTAGTGGCCTCTATATGGTCATTTGTGGCCTCAATATATTAATTTGTGGCCTCAATATAGCAATTAGAGGCCTAAATATACTAATTAGTCACCTTAATATTGTAATTAGTGGCCTCAATATATTAATTGGTGGCCTCAAAAAATTAATTTGTGGCCTCAATATATTAATTCGTGGCTTCAGTATATTAGTTTTGGTCTCAATATAGTAATTTGTGGCTTCAATATAGTAATTTGTGGCCTCAACATATTACTTTGTGGCCTCAATATAATAGTTTGTGGCCTCAATATAGTAATTTGTGGCCTCAATATATGAATTTGTGGCCTCAATATAGTAATTAGTGGCCTCAGTATATTAATTTGTGGTCTCAATATAGCAATTAGTGGACTCAATATAGCAATTAGAGGCCTCAATATAGTAATTTGTGGTCTCGATATAGTAATTAGTGGCCTGAACATATTAATATGTGGCCTTAATTTATTAATTTGTGGCATCAATATAGTAATTAGTGGCCAAAATATTGTAATTAGTAGCCTCAATATATTAATTAAATGCCTCAAAATATTAGTTTTTCTCAGCTGCTTGGACACTTTTGTCCATTCAGAACTCATGTTTTCAGAACAGTTAACACATAAAACTAAACAGAGGTTCGCCAACCACAACACGCTTTATCAAAACACTAAATTCAGGACACAAAAGTACTGATAATCAGGAGTGTTAACCCATCAGAACTGTGTTAAAATATTATGTGGCAGGTCTTTAATAGTTTGCCCATAAAAAAACAACATGCCTAGCAATGATTAGAAGTAGCAGATCACAAAAGCCATGGCCTTTAGCAGCAGACCTCAGGCTGTGTTTGTGTGTATCTTCACGCGTGGTTTCCTGTCTCAGTGTTCCAGACCTGGCTGTGGTTGCCAGCTCCAGCCTTATCCCTCCCTATTGGGTGTCCATGCCCCTGAACAAAGAGTGGTGTTAATGGCACGCTTTTCTGGCACGGGCAGAAAAGGTCATCCTTTCTGCTCGGCCGTATTGAGATGGAAATGGATGTTCCTCTGCACTGTTTGCGGCCGCCGCTTCATCCCCCGATAAATCCGCCGCTGACTCACACAGGGGGGCGCGGAAAGGTGCGAGAAAATCATCAATTAGGGAGCGGCAGCTGATCAGACGGAGCTTTCTGAGGCGCGACTCTGAAGGCTCTATGGATTATTAGCTTCCGCTGGATGAATTCTCTTTTCCCGCGGAGCTGAAGCATGTCAGATAGATCTCAGAAATGCAGTGGCAATTTCGCCGAAGAGACTGGGAAATATTCAAGTGCCGTGCACAACACGCTCATCTACGGCTGCATTTTAAGTGCTAGATGGAGAGCCTCGCTTGCTCTGTTATTTTGCCATCTTGCCTACGTGACCATGAATGTAACAGCGCTGCAAATCAGTCCGCCTGACCCCAAACCGTCAGTCTGTTCCTCATAATATTACACGCACATGCTGCAAAAGCTCAAGCTCTATTGCTGGTTTAATAACCCAGGGGAGATCATGGTGGGCACATTAGTATGTATGAATTTTTAAGTGAAAAACACTCACACAAGCAAACAAATAAGCCAATACATTCATAATTACGTTCGATTACAAGCCTGGGGTCAGTTAACGATATATATTATGAGATACTGGTGAATGCACAGACTTCCAGCAATTGATTACAGGGCGTTTGACATAATAAAGACTGAGCTGGGAGCAGGAAACACGGTAAACAATGCTACAAAAGCTCTTTTGCTTGCAACCGAGTTTTTAAATGCCTTAATTAACAAATCCCACAGCACCGAGGATGATTTACATGGTTAATTAAGCTGTTGGAGGCTCCGGTGTTTCTAAGCTGATGGTGGCAAAAGGGGTCAATGTGTTAAACACACAAAATCAGCACTAATACAACCTCTGGCTCCAACAGTGCTGATATGCTAACCTCGCTAAATGCATACGGCTAACCTGAAATCCCTCAGAAAGCAGTCGCTCAGTATCTCTCCTGAAGGTGTGGAAGAAAGCCACACAAGGGGGGGTCAATCAGGGTTAATCAGGTTCTCTTGTCAATAGAGAAAAGGGGCTTATAGTAAATTAATTGTGGAAAAACGTGCACCAGCTTTCATTTTTTGCACAGGGTTTGCTGAATAATTCATAGCAGATACCAGTGGGGAACTGTCAGGGCCTTCTAGGCCTTCCGAGAAGGCCTGATGATTTATGTGAAATAAAAGAAATATGAAATTAAAGAACTGTTAATATCATTTAAAATAATCATGTTTGTTGTATTTAATGTCTGTAACTGATGTAGTAATACTCTTATTCCAATGTTAAGTTTTGGCTGGAAACAAAAAGGTTAAATCCATGAAATAGAAAACTATCCAATCAGGGTTGTTTTTTTCATGGTATCTAGGTAGATATAGCCAACTGAGCTCTCCTATTGGTTAGGACTTTAGGAGCTGGACTGAAGGCCTTACACGCTAGAATAACTACCCACATAATTAGGAAGTGACAGAGGAATGCTGTGATTTACAATAAGTGGGACCAGTTTTATGACAAAAACGTCGCTCTATATCAAATCTAGATATGTCACTGACTGTGAATATGAGTCGTAGTCTAAGCATGTTCCGGTTAGTTATTAGGAATGTTAAACAGCAGCGGACGTTCAAGATACACTGTAAAACTAATAGATGTAAGCTCAGATTTATTTTACTGTCTGTCACAAGCTTCAGATTAAACATACAGAATGACTTTTACAAGCCTCGAATGTTTGTTTTTAATCTAGAAAGGCCCAAAAACATTTATGTGCACTGCTAGCGCTAACATACTACTAGAAATCCCATAGGGCACTAGTAAAAATGAGCATAATTGTAAAGTTGGTAAAGTTTTTTGGCCTAGTTTTGACATTTATAGCCTAAGCTAAGGCTTAGCTCTAAAAGACATGTTTTGCCACAGCTAATAAGTCATAAAGGAGCAAAAAAGATGTTTCCTTCTTTCCCTTATGAAACAACTGGCATGGCAATTTTCTTGGAACTGTATGCTAACACCTATCGACCTATAACGTATAACCTGTATACTGCCCTCTGGTGTTGTGGAGAGGTAATCGCACTCTCCTTATTCTGCTTAGTGGAATGACGATCTGTGTGATCAGCATCACTCAAAGATGTGGGAGTCAGAGGAAAGGTACTGGTAACTAATAGAAATGCTTGTTTTTGGATTCTGTGTCGTTAATATCTGGCACAGCTGTCCTCATAACCAGTTTAGACAGTAACAGTTTTCTATTTAAGTGACACACGAAGTGCTACCATCAACGCATCAAGCAGAGTTATATAATATTTGTTTGAAATTAGCTGTTTCTGACTTCAAATCTAAATCATTCTGTCTTTGCTCTCACTCGCAGTTGAAGCTAACATTACTGAGAAAGAGTCTGACAGAAATACAGCTTAGCCAGTTATTTACTCTTCCTGATGAGGACTGAATATTACATAAACGCTGAGCGCTGCAGAATGGAAACTAGAG